AATCGTCGTCGTTTAAGTCTTTGTCCGGTGTATATTTAATTATCTTCTCTCGGCGGCGACGTATTCTAAGATAATAAACCCACCCATCTTCTTTTGAGCCAATGGAATATTGGTGGAAGATTTCGGTCATGCCAAGGTTTAGTCCGGCTTGTTGGTTCAGTGCGGCTATTCCTATAATGATGCGGTAACTCTTTGTACTCTTCAGCTGAAGTATAGGTATGGCTGAAGAGTGGTTGGCTAAACCAACTCTTAATACTCTTCAGCCGAAGTATGAGTATGACTGAAGATTTGTTGGCTGGAATAAACCAACTCTTGGTACTCTTCAGCCGAAGTAAGGGTATGGCTGAAGAGTGGTTGGCTGGAATAAACCAACTCTTAGTACTCTTCAGCCGAGGTAAGGGTACGACTGAAGAGTGGTTAGCTGGATTAAACCAACTCTTTGTACTCTTCAGCCGAAGTATGGGTACGGCTAAAGAGTGGTTGGCTGAATTAAACCAACTCTTTGTACTCTTCAGCCGAAGTATGGGTATGGCTGAAGAGTGGTTGGCTGGATTAAACCAACTCTTGATACTCTTCACCCGAAGTATGGGCATGGCAGAAGAATGGTTGGCTGGATTAACCCAACTCTTTGTACTCTTCAGCCGAAGTATGGGTATGGCTGAAGAGTGGTTGGCTGGATTAAACCAACTCTTTGTACTCTTCAGCCGAAGTATGGGTATGGCTGAAGAGTGGTTGGCTGGATTAAACCAACTCTTGGTACTCTTCAGCAGAAGTATGGGCATGGCTGAAGAGTGGTTGGCTGGATTAAACCAACTCTTTGTACTCTTCAGCTGAAGTATAGGTATGGCTGAAGAGTGGTTGGCTGGATTAAACCAACTCTTGGTACTCTTCAGCCGAAGTATGGGCATGACTGAAGAGTGGTTGGCTGGATTAAACCAACTCTTTGTACTCCTCTGCCGAAGTAATTATATCGGCTCAGGAGTGGTTGGCTGGTAAGCATAGTTAGTTTAATCATTTAAAACCGGAATGGCAGTTGGAGGAACAATAGAAGACATTACAAGTGCAAGCACACATCAAAACCGGAATAAGAGTCCAACAAAATTTTCATTCATTAAAAAGCAAGTACAGAGGGTCCTAGCCCGGTTACAAGGAAAAGGTAACAAAAAAGAGAAAAAATCAAGAAAAAAGATCCTCAATTTCGGCGTCAAAGGCAGCATCGGCATCAATTTGAAGACCGGTTTCAGGCGGAAGGACGTTTTCAGTCGCAAGAGTGGTTTCGGTCGGAACCACGGTTTCACCTGGTTGTTCAATAGTCAGGTCTTCCACCGTAGGCTCCAACCGAACTGACGGGACCGCACTAACAACCGGAGTATCTTTAGAGATAGAATCTTCATCAGAATCTGAGTCTCCAAGAAACTGCTCTTGCATGGCATTAGCATACTCCACAAGGGAGCTCGGTATGAAGTAGGCTGGAGGGTTGAAAACCTCGGTCTGTGGATCGTGACCGAGCTTCTCAACAGCCGCCCTCCAGCCGCACTTGAAGAACAGCTCCTTAGCAGCATTACATTGCTTGGCATAAGCATCCTCTGCCTTCTTGAAGCCTTGTTTGCCGGCCTCTTTTGCGTTCTCCTTCACTTGGGATATTTCGACATCTTTCTTTCTTTCGAGCTTCACAAGCTCGCGCAGGTACTTGTCCTTCAGAGCTATGGCAGCCTTCTGCCTTTCTGCTTCGGCCGAACTAACCAGTCCGGTTAGCCTGCTGTTCTCAGCTTGTAGCTCGGCCATTTGCTTCTTGATGTCTTCTACCTCGGCCGACTTCACTTCGGCTTCTGCCACAGCTTGCCTTGTAGTTTTTCTGAGTTCCAGCACTTTCTTGTGAGTGTTGTAGTTTTTTTGAATTGCCTGGCAAAACAAAGACTTCCCATGAGCCGAAGTAAAAGTTTAAAAAACTAGACAGAAAAATGGACAGAGCTACATACCAGGATCATGGACTTTGTGGCAGACCGGATGGACTTTAGTTCGGTGTTTAACTGCTTCTGGTGGTGCTCCATATCCTTGGGGAGGCACACACTCTTGGCCAGGCTAAAGGCCAACTGGTGATCTTTTTCGGCGACAACCGAATCAGCATCAAGGATATCTCGGTCGTTGAAGCTAAGCTTTGGTGCCCAGCTGGTGATAGTTCGGTCGGCAGGCTGCGGTTGGGGGCTCGATGGCAGAATCGGTGGAACAGCAGTCTCATCTTCTACCAAACTTGGTTCAGACTCGGTGGTTCGCGCGCGTTTGGTTCGGCGCGACGAAGATGGCTGTTGTGAGGGGAGGGCCACAACGGCAGGCTGCGTTTGGCTTGGTAACGGTACTTCGGGCCTGCTTGTCTCGGTCAGAAGCGCCCTTAGTCTGTTCTTCTTGGCCATTTCCTCTTCAGCGGTTAATGGAATTAATCTTATTTGTGGCAAGGTTGGGTCCGGCTCTGGGGCGTCTTCGAGAAGAAAGTCAGTTACTCTGGCTTTACGGCGACCACTGTATTGGTAGGTCGGCTCGAATTTCAGCAATTTGGCCCAACTACGTTCAGGATATCGTAGTGCGGCTCGCAAAATTGCAAGGTTTGGATAGTTGCATAAGGAATGGAGGTGGGCGGAATCTGCGAAAGAAGAACTATTAGTTCGGTTGATAGACTAACAAACCGAAATAAAAAATTTTATATATGCAAGAAAGAAGACCGAAGTTAAAATTACCGAGCTCTCCTTTTTTCCAATTGATAGGTCGGCCAGGAATTTGGGCTTGAAAATCCTCAAAGTTCCCAAAGACCCAGAAAAAATCATCGTCGTTTAAGTCTTTGTCCGGTGTATATTTAATTATCTTCTCTCGGCGGTGACGTATTCTAAGATAATAAACCCACCCATCTTCTTTTGAGCCAATGGAATATTGGTGGAAGATTTCGGCCAGGCCAAGGTTTAGTCCGGCTTGTTGGTTCAGTGCGGCTATTCCCATAATGATGTGGTATGAATTAGTGGACAGTTGGGTAGGGCATAGTCTAGTCTTCCTAAGAAATTCACAGATCAATGGTTGGACTGGAAACCGTAGTCCGGTTTCTATAATGGATAAAAGGGTGAAGGGGACAAAGCCTTCGTTATCCCAGGGAATGACATCTCTTTCGGCTAATGTCAGGTGGACATCATCAGGTATGTTATAGTCCTTCCTGAATTCGGCTAGGCCGCCTGGAGTGTTTACTAGGTACCTATACTTACCCATCTATGGTATAAATTAAGAATAAATTAGTTCGGTCGGAAGATTGGGCTCAGTAGCTCGGTTGAGCGCAAGAAGGAGTGCCTGGGCAACCTAAGTCTGCAAAGTGGAAAACATAGGGGTTAAGCACAGATCATCGGACCGTGCTACAAATAAAAACAAGATAAAGTCCTACTTCGGCTATGTGTGGTGCTACAGTTTGTATCTCGGTTTGAACTTCCGGTTTGGCTGGTTCAGTTAATCCTCTAGGGGCAGCTTTCTGAGTCCGGTTTAAAGAACTAAGAAAGCTGGCTTAGCCCCGAAGGCTGAGCTCGGTCGGGGACTAAGATTTCCGTTGTTCTAAATTCAGACTTAGTTCGGTGCATTTTATCTCGGCTAAAGACAATCAAGAAGATGAAGACCTATTATTTCGGTGCATTTGATTTCATGCATCTTCTCTAGTTCGGTTTTATCTTGATAAGACTTACATCTAGCACGAACGGTATCCTAGTTCGGTTAAATGGTGATTTTGGATTGAAAACCAGTATTCAACAGGATATGGCATATATTCAAGTGTTCTATGATAAAGTTTTTTCCAAATAAAAGTACAGAAGCAAACCAGAAAATGGGCAAAAATGTTTCGCATAAACATTAAAAGCAAAATACGAAAGCAAAACAAAGGAGGAAAAATGGATTGGCTTACCAGATTGAAGAAGAGGGAACTGGAGATGGGAAAGTGGCAGCAATATCAGTCTTCAGGTGCAACGGAAGAACAGCAAGAACACAGGGTAGAGAGAGGAGAGGTAATGATAGAATGGTTAATCCAAAGGACAGAATGTTTTTTTTGTGGAAAGAGAAAGAGAAAGGGCGGGAACTATTCAAAAAATTTCGTAGTACGAGGGCGGCGTGACAGCTGCCCCCAGCCTATCAGAATCTGCCACGTGTCATTGAAAAGGGAAGCGTTACAGTCGTGATTGAAGAGACGTTTTGACCGGACAAAACAGAGCCCGGAGTAAGAATTAGCTCGGCTTAAAAAGGTTGGAGTTTTTAGCTCGGCTGGAGAAGCTAAAGGGTTTTTAGCTCGGCTGGAAAAGCTTAAAAAACTCCAGTTCGGCTAGTAGACTGGTAATCCCAATCATGCTGTGCAGATGGAATTAAGGGGCAATTGAGAGGGTAATTTTTGGTAAAAATTGGGCCGAGCTACAGAGATGGACTTTATGACCCAAAGTACGAAGGACTGGGTAAAAAGGCCCAATGGAAATGTAAAAGTTACTCCGGACCAAGAGTAAGAAAGTTACTCCGGTTCAAGAAATGGTAAAGTTACTTCGGCCCAGAAGAGATGTTGAGTTACTTCGGTCCGTACAACTTTTCTAGTAAGGCCGGTCTCGGAGATAGTCCGGCCATGATGTATTCTGGGTAGGTCAGTCGGAATGTTGCTACTCGGTAGATCGGTCCAACCACACCATGGTTCGTGCATGAGAGAACCGAAATATGATGTAACAAGAAGAAGAACCGAACTACTGTTAGTACGGCCTACTCCGTGGCTCGGTATAGCCAGTATTATTTCGGTCATGTGGTAGTTCGGCCATAGTAAAAACCATCCCACTTGGTTTAAGCAGTGGGGGGGTGTAAAAGGACAAGCATTATCCTTTAGGAGTATGAATCCTAAGAGGACTCTGCATGGAGAAATAAAAGTCCTACTAGGATTGGGCCACTCAAAACTTATAAAAGCTCACAAGCATCACCTTGGAAGGAGGTAACATAACACAACACACAATTTTGCTTCCTGATTACATTGAGCTTTGTCTATTTGTCAAGTTTTCTGACTTAGGCATCGGAGAGGTTTCCGGCACACACCCGCCGGCTAGCTCACGTTTGTGTTTTCAGGTGACAAAGCGACGTCGTACGGAGGAGCGTGGACTTAGTCAACAGGATTATATGAGGAGAATTATTTCTTCCCCGTACAATAATTATATTTCAAAATTACTGGATAATCAACTCTTTTATTCTATATTAATCCCACATAACACTTGCGTGCTCCTCAATTCATTTATATATCTATTTGAGCGTATTTGATTTTCACTTAATCCTATCATATTCGAGTTATAATATTTATAAAGTTAATTATCATAAATATCATAATTTAATTGTATAGGAATTATAATTTAAAAAAAAAAAAGAAAAGCAAAGGGTATTACACTTACCTCTCTTGAGGTTTGCCTTAATTATATATACTTCCACTATAGGAATTCCCACATATGCTGACCAAAAATTTAATCGACAAAAGTTCATTTTTAGTCGGCAAAAGTTATCCGCGACTAATTTTTTTGGTCACTACTTTGGTCGCCAATTGAGGGTCACGAAAAGTAATTTGCGACTAAAATTTTTTTTAGTCGGGGAATAAGTTCTATTTGCCGACTAACTTTTTAGTCGCTAAATATATAATTACTACGACTAATCCATTTAGTAGCTAAAACACTTTAGTCGCGAAAAAATCATATTTTCCCAACCAAACATATTCGTTGCCAATTATCACATTCCACAATCAAACATGTTAGTCGGCAATTATCACATTCAACGACCAAAAAGTTTGGTCAACAATTGTCAGATTCCACGACTAAATAATTTGGTCGCCAATTGTTACATTCCACGACTAAAAAGTTTGGTCGCCAATTGTCACAATCCACGACCAAAATGTTTGGTCGCCAATTGTTACATTCCACGACCAAAAAGTTTGGTCGCTAATTGTCAGATTCCACAACCAAAAAGTTTGATCGTCAATGGTCACAATCCACGACCAAAAAGTTTGGTCACCAATTGTCAGATTCCACAACCAAAATGTTTGGTCGCCAAGTGTCACATTCCACGACCAAGCATGTTAGTCTTCAAAAAAAATGTTTAAGCAAAAAACTTTAGTCGGCAATTGACCTATTAGCGACGAAATCATTTGGTTGCCAAAATTAATGATTTTAACAACTAAATAATTAGTCGCCAAATGTACCCTCTCGCCTGTAACGCCCTTAAAATAATAACATTAAACCCATCAAATAAAACATTCATTGACATATGAAATATCCACAATCTTCTATTCATCAGAGTTTCATTACAAAAGTATTACATGTTAACAACAAAAGCAAAATGCCCTACGGGCTTACAACTTTCCAAGTTAACACTTGGTTACAACAAAAGAGTACTAACTCATCTACACATTAAGCCCTCGGCTTGAATATACATGTAATACATCAAAAGGAACTTAAACAACAAAAAATCTGTCCGCCTCTAGCCTCCCAAGCTATGACCTTGGAGGTGGCATGCTACCTGTACCTGAAAATGATATTCCCATATAGGGTGAGCCACAACCCAGTAGAAATACACTAAACCAAATATGAACAATGACTAAAAGATTAGCAGTTGATAGATGGCCAATACAGATATTTTCCCTTATCACATTTTACGGTTTCATGACATACAAGTCCATATTACAGTCCATTTTCCAATTCCTTTCAATTCTCAATTTACAACCATGGCTCAGAACCTGGCCAAACAACTCATATGAGACAGTAACTCATATCAAACACTTCCCATTTCATAATAGATAAGCATACTAGCTATATCACACAACAACAGATAAGCATACAAGCTATATCATTACTTCCACAGATATGCATATGAGCACTATCACACTTCCAATGACAAGCATATAAGCTCTGTCAACACAGCACTAGATAAGCATATGAGCTCTATCTACGGAGTCCATTCCCTATCTCCTCCCAACAACATCCGGTTTAGAGGTCCATCCCCTATCTTCCCCTAAACCGTGGAGTACATTCCCTATCTCCTCCAACACAACACAATGCATATAAACAATAATTGTACACATCATCACGCAACACATAAATTTAACGTGTTCTTTCACTCAATCATAATCAATGACTCATTCCAGTGATTAGTTTTCGTTTGCCTAATCATCATGCATTGTCTACAACAATCACGACTATCCTCCACCGATAGCCCAAAGCAGTTATTTCTATACAGTAAATAAATGCAACAAATGGATATAAAATCGACATTTCCAACTAGGTGAGTGACATGAGATCCAACTACACCCTTTAATCCCATGTATTCCCAATCTCAGCATTTCTATTTCATAACCTCATTTCTCACGATTAATTAACCCAATTAATCAAACAATGTAATTAGGGCATTCTCCATAATTAACATTACAACCCTTAAGGTCCCATTTTCATCAATGATTCAGCATTTATTCCATTTCTCTAGGCCAAACATGCATCTAGGTTTATCATAAATAAAACCCCAACTTTTGTAAAATCACACAAAAGCCCCAAACTTTCACAAAATTACCAAACCAACCCCAACATCTCAAAATACTAAAATTTAAAGACAAAATCCATAGAGAGGAGTAGGATATCCCTACCTTAAATCAGGAGCCCCAAGGGAGAAGATGACAAAACCCAACGTGCTCCAAATCCCGAAATTTTCAGATTAAAATGTAGCCCTCGACGATCAACAACTTTTTTGTAAAGGCCAAAGATGAGCAAATCACTCCTACTAGATCAAAACCTAGAGAGAATGTAGAGTTTTAGAGTGAGAGGCTCAACAATGGTGTTTTTTGGAAAAGTAGGAGAGAGAAGAGAAAGTGAAAAAGTGATTTGAAAAGTCAAAACACGGAGCTTTAACCCAGTCGCCCCGCTCGAGCGTCACTCACAGACTCCCGCTCGAGCGGCCAATCCCCCGCTCGAGCTCCGGATACACACTCCCAGAGCTTTTGCAGACAGGTCTCCCGCTCGAGCTTCTAACTCCCCGTTCGAGCGTCACTCACACAAACCCGCTCGAGCGACCAATCCCACGCTCGAGCGTCGAACACTGCACAGGAAATACTGGATGGGTGAAACCCCCGCTCGAGCGCCAAAACCCCCGCTCGAGCGGACAGGTCAAAATCTGGGCAACTAGTTTTAGTTTCTAATCTCAACCAACCTGTAACAAACCTGCCCTACACATCCTATAAC